TCCGGGGAACGTGGCGGGTCAAGGTGCACATGATCTGCGCGGCACGGATTCCCAGGTGATGGATGACACAGAGTTAGGGTTAGGGTACACTTCTGTAGTACAAGTCTGGTACACTTTGTGTATACATATATGTACCTCGGGTACATATATGTAGTACCTGATACGACAACGACCCCTTCAGCAGCATTAAGCCTGTGACTGTACAGTGGTAACACTTTGTGAGCGAGAACGAGAGAAAGACACACATCAAGGGATAACTATAGCGAGAGAACGAGAAAGAAAGAGGGGGTGGTGACTGTGAGAGATCGAGCATGTGTGCGGCAATGTCAAGGAGAAAAGAGAGTGCGCGAAAAAGAGAGTGAGATAGAGAGCGATTAAGTGAGTGAGTGAGAGGAAGAGAGAGAGAGAGAGAGAGAGAGAGAGAGAGAGAGAGAGAGAGAGAGAGAGAGAGAGAGAGAGAGAAGAATAAGTATAGCGGGAGAGATGGGGGGAGAGAGGGAGAAATTTAAGTTGGTGGCGATCTATACAGGCGGAGAAATATATATATACACGGTCGCTAATGACGCCCACCGAAGCACGCGCTCGCTGCGAAAGATACCCGGCAGTCACGCGGCGAAATTCTCATTAAAATTAGACATCATTAACGAAAATTTATCGGCGTGACGTCGACGGCGGCGCCAGGTAAGCAATGTCACGCACGGCGCGTCTCCGTCGGCCGACGCACTACCGCCCGCGCGTTTTTTCGCCGGATCTACTTTTTTCCCTACGCCAAGTTTCTTTTTTTATCAATTTTCGCAGTAACGTCATTAAGGGTAAAATTTCGCTAATGCGGAAATAAACTAGTGGTAATAAAATTGCTGGCCAGGCTCGTGCCACTTTGCGCTGGGGGAGGGGCGATGGGATGGCTGTGGGACGTTGTGGGGGGTCTGGAGCTTGCCACGGGGAAATTCGATTGCGAATTTATGGCTGGAGATTGCCTTGTATATACAATTATATAGATTAGTTGTTTCATTTTTCAGTAAGTCAGTAGGTATACCTATCAAGAGCTCATAATAGAGATCGAGTCTCTATAATGAGCTATTGATACCTATGTAAATATGTAAATATATATAAAGGTAAATACCTGGGTGAGAATAAGAAATAACGAGGCTACACCTATAGGTAAATAAATATCTATCCAATTCTACCGCCGTTACCGTGTGAACCTCTAACCGTAGAGTGACGTCACGTGCGCGCCGACGACAGCCCACGTGACCGGGCCACGTGCGTGATGCGTGAGAACGCGCCCGTAAATGTTTGATGGACACAGACGACAGCGGAAGATGTCGGTCGTCATGGCGATATGATGAGTATGAGGGCGATAATAGTATCATGAGTGACGTAATATAGAGTGTCATATATATATTATATTATGACACTCCTGATCGTCCTGATAGTATTCGAGTCGTCGTCCGGCGTGGATGAAATTGCACGCCAGTAAGCGTGCGATAAGCAGACGAGATGCGATGTTTGGTTTACAAGGCTCAATAGTGTAGCCTGCACATCTTCACCTAACTTGACAGCTTAATGTACTGCACCCCACCTCCCCCTCTCCTGTCGCCCTAGCGGGATAAGCGTACGAGCGTGCGTTCGTGCGCTTCCGTGCGTATACGAGCGTGCGTTCGTGCGCTTGCGTGCGTACGAGCGTACGTTCGTGCGATTGTATGCGTACGAGCGTGCGTTCGTGCGCTTCCGTGCG